CACACACACACACACACACACACACACACACACACACACACACACACACACACACATACAAACACGGAAGTCGGAAAAGATGAATTTGCTGTTCCGATAAAATTTCAGCTCTATATGCAGTAGAAAATATGCGATTGGATCCAATCATTAAATACTCTTCAATGCAAAGATTAATTAAAACCGAGTGTATATTTTATTGATTGATAGCACTTTTTTGGTGAAGTAATCACAAATCAACAAGAGAAACAAAGAAAGTCTCAGTTCTGGAATCAGGTTAACTGTACCACGAATTAAGAGGTTTCTACAATGTTTTTTGGCTTCCAAAACCACCTTGGGTGCCAAAGATTCAGCCTCGCCAATTTGGCCACTGTGGACCTGAAATTTGATTTTCAGGAAATGAAACCGTTATTATTGAAATGCAACAAATTCTGCCAAGAAGATCATCAGTCAACTCAGGCTCCTTTTTTCTAATAGTAAATTTGACACAAATATTCAATTTAATTTGCGAATTTACGTACCTGGGCCACCGCCTTGCCACGGACCACTCTGACCTCCGTGCCACGGACCAGCCTGACCTCCTTGCCACGGCCCACCCTGACCTCCGTGCCACGGACCAGCCTGACCTCCTTGTCCCGAGCCACCCTGGCCACCTTGCCAGGGCCCACCTTGGCCTCCTTGCCATGGGCGACCTTGGCCTCCTTGCCATGGGCCACCTTGACTTCCAGGCCCACTTTGCCATGGGTTACCTGGACCTCGATTATTGCCCGTCCAATTGGGAATTTGCGGCCCTGAAAAGCGGTAGAAACCTAAATTCGAGGTGTAGAATAATCGGTGAGATTGGTTTAACAATATTAAACTTCTGAATTTTATTTAACTCGATCTGACTGTTTCGATATACGCCACCAAACATGGATTAGATGTGGGGACATTTTCTTCTTCGTACAAAAGAGTATCATGGCTGAAAAATTGAACCACTCCATAATACTCTACTAAGACGGTAATAGAAAACGGTGAAAATTTAGAAAAGTTGCGAAATTGCTGAAAGGCCTTAAATAAAACCTGTTCACTATAGAATTAGAAACTGCAGAACTGGGAATTAGTACTGATCTAAAGGAGAGAGAAAGGTACCTGGCGCTGAAACATAGGCGCGTTCTATATTACCTTCATTATGAACAGTGAGATTAACGGTTTGAAAAGTAATGTCTATTTCGGTTTTCAAGCTCTGAGAAATTGTTTTTAACGCGGTTTAGTGCTTTTTTATACACTTACTCACAGATACAATATTTTATTCATTATTCACTTCGACAATAGCCGTTCCGCATCGTTTGGTAGTTGGACAAAGAATCTGTGTCGGGACTTTCTTAAACTTGAGTTTGTATTGCGCGAAAGTTACCATGATTTTCGTGTGCGACAGATCTTTTCAATTACTGCAACTTCATAAGTTCACGAAAAGTTGCTTACGCAGAGAGTCTTCTTAGAAAATCGACATGGTTTTCCACGAGCTACTACTAATGCTAGCAGCAATGATCAATCAAGAATGGTCAGTTAACTTCTAAGACAGCACTTCATTATTTGGATTACAAGCTACAAAAGGCTGAAATCACTAAAATACGAAGCACTGGCTCATTAGCCAAAACTTCTAGACTTTTTGCCACCCTGCTTACTTTTTCGACAACCTCACCAACTAGATCAGAAAAAAGATTTCAATTATCAAACCGCTGCCGAAAATCCTTTCAGGCTCACGTGTGCCCTGGAATTCGAATGTCTTGAAGTGATTGGATCGAAAATCTTCACCACGTTAGCAAGGATTTATATGTCTTAATGAATTCTGTTTCGCCTGGTAAAGATCACTATTTGCTGTAATTTATCTATTTGAAGAGAAAAATCAAAGGAAGAAGAAAGAAGAAAAAAGGAAAAGAAGAATCAAAACCTCTTTCAATCAGCCTAATAGCCTGAAAGAACAGTGATCGCTTCGCTGTGAATTGGAATTGTAAACGCTAACTGTGAATCTCAATGAACTCCCTTGCTGGTCCATTAACATACAGCTTGTAGTAAACTTCGATTGTATACTTCGAAACTAATCCATCTTCAATAGCACAAGCGGCACCATTATATTGGAAAGCTGTAACATTGTACAATCCTTTCACCGGGGATCGTAGATGCCTGTGGTATCAAAATTCTTCATCAGATCTCACAGCCTTTGTGGTGCAGAGGTAGATTTGTTATCTTGCAACTAGGTTTCATCCAAAACGACTCAAATTCGTCACACTGTTTTGCTCCGAGCCGAACTTTCAAGTTCAAATGTCGAGCTTTTCCACATTATTAGCTACGAGGCGATGAATCGACGGCTGTACACCACATTTTGGCACTCAGTAACAACCAGCAATCCTTCTAAAGACATTTTTGACAGTATTTTCATCAAGTGATTGTCGATACACGAAAGCGTACGGTACGGATGATTTGTGATTCCAGAAGAACGACCTCACTGTATTGGCATCGATTCAAACGGGACTCATAACGGCTGTGTGGAATGCGATGCCAAAAGCATGTTGAAATAAGATTTTACAACAACCTCGTCGAAGCGTATCAATATCCATGCAATTTTCGCTCCGTTACGTCCGTTTTGCATTCGTGCAAAAATATTGTTTGAAATAGTTTCTCCTTCCACTTTTAGTTGAACGTCTTTGATTGAATGCAATTTAATTTTAAAAAATGTAACGTGAAAGTGAAGAAGAGGATCTATTTTTTAAAAAGTGTGCAACGCAGACACAAAGGCATAAATTGGGGACAAATAGCAAGATTTAAAGAACAAAGGAAGAGCTAATTTTTCCTTCATTTTTCCTGTTACATTTTTTCTTTCTTTGGTTATTTCATGCATTCTATCGCCATGTGCAAACTGAATTAGTTCTACAGAGACGAACACCCTTTGTACACTTTTCATATATACACATACGTACGTATGCATACATGTATATATTTTTTATCTCACTGTCCATGATCCGTCTTCACGTTTACTGTGCGGATTCCTGCACTTCTCATATTCTTTAAAGAACAAAAGAAGAGCTAATTTTTCCTTTCCTTCTATTCGTTTCCTCGCATCCACTGTCCGCGAAGTTCTTCCAACTCTGAGTGTGGCTTCATTTGCTGCTTGAGGATTTTCATTTCATCTTATATGTCGTAGAATGCTGGTCGAGTCGATTTTCCTTGAAATCCTGAGATTGTCGGGCCGAAGGGCTCCCAATTGGATTGCAGTGAGCGATTTTTTCCCAGACAAGTCGGGTACCAATTTCCCGAACCCGGAAAGATAAGAGGCTTGGTTGCCCCGGAGCGGAATCGAACTAATACCGTGCTCATGATGACGGACATCGCTACTATTGTGCTATCCGCTTTCAACGAAATAAATACATATGTAAGGTCTAAAGGATATGGCGAAGTTATGTTAAGGCGCGGATAAGGATAGTGAACATTTTTGCTGCAGCCATCAGTAGTTTCCTTGTTTTGCTTTTTTTAAAACAAAATGGATCGGTGAAATAACTAATTTATATTGTTGAACGACATGTATCACCATAAAGTCTAATTTAATGCGCTTGTTAGAAGACATAATCTTTTCACTACTGATGGAGTGTATACAACAAAAACTGGTGGTCTACGTAAAGACGAGAATGTTAAGGTGAAGCATACACGAACTCTTGCAATCACCATCGCTCATGTCGGGCAAACTGCGAAATTTTGCGTTGTGTATAAGCCGGTCATATAGACGGTTGTGAATTAGCTTACGTCTTAGAATGTGCGGTGGTATTTCAGTTAGTGCAGCCGATTTCTCTGAATCGGCACCTTTCAAGTAACGTTTTGTGGCTGCACTCATTTGGCTGGAAATCAAGGGCACGATAGACGGGATTTTACTATCACTAGAGTTCGTTCGTTTTGTTTGGGGGATTGGGTTTTTCTCTACAACTATCCCGAGGAGCTCCAGTTTGTAGCCATTAGAAATGGCTATTTGCCGCGAGAATTTTTGGGATTCCTTCTTCTGTTCTCTTCCTGTGCACACACTGGTGGCGGTTCGAGACATGTTTCTTACAAGCCACCACTTTGTGTGTGAGGGGTGAGAGGAGAAGTAATGAGCCAGCATGTTTTTAAAAAATTGGGTATTAGTAGCAGTGATCGAAGACTGAGTACGAGGACTTCAACTTTAGACGTGAACGCCATGGGTAGGCTTGGTGCCTTCACTATCTCGTTGCTACCCTTTTCTATTGTGCTTAATATTTCATCTGTTGAGATTGTTTTTAAATGTGGGAGTCAATTTTCTTTTGTTTTCTTTCGGTAAAATTTATGTATTCCGACTGACTTCTTAACAAGATCAAACATTTGTCCATCTCCTCTTATGTGGAGCAAATGAGAAAACAATCACCTTTATATAGAGTAGAGTGATGGGCCAGAGAGCAATAGCTGGTGCTCAAACCATAGCAATAGAGGCAATAGCAAGGCTTAGTGCCAGACGCCATCCTTTTGATAACTCTCTCATTCGTGCGTAATATTTTCCAGACGATCTAAGGATTAAGCTGTTTAGGCATCCCTTTCAGAGTCCCATGAGCCGCTGAATCGGCATGATATACAATATACATGTTTATTGCTCCAACGCCTTGCACAAGGAGTTCGAGGCTGATATGAATTGCAGAATTGCAGAATCACTCTGCATGCTTGTGCATAGGTTGGGCTTCATCACAAAGTGCACTGAAGAAGCGAGCGTTACATTGATGACCAATTAACAACCACAATGGGGCCGAAATAATGGCAAAACTTGACCTCCAGACCAAATCGAACCACGATTACCCATTCCACATGTATATTTCATATAATACTCTACCATGAGAAACTACAGTAGGCACTAAATAAAAGGTCAACGTTCTGATTTCGACTACAGCCTCAGTTTAAATAGGTTCGATTCCGATTTGAGCTCCCATATCAATCCCATTGACGGGTGATTGCTGATGGTACTAATCGATAAAACTAGCTGAAAGATAGGCGAAACGAAACTGATGGTGCCGTTAGATAGAAAACTAGTTGAGAGAGACGCAAAGCAGTGGCTTTAGTGAGCAGCGTGTAGCACGTGTGCCCGCGGAAAGGGTAATCGTAGTTCGACCTAGCCTGGGGTCTGAGTTTTGCAAATATTTCAGCACCATTGCGGTTGTATAATAGATAATACCCTGCGGTGAAAAATTACCGTAGACAGTAAATAACAACTGAACATCGTGAGATCGAACAACATTTTGCTGTTCTTGAGACGGGCTGCGATCTGTTTCAACAACTGGATAAGCATTAAGGCATAACCACGTTACTGGAGCCCCTCTGGAAAAGTGATGGTGGGCCTAACCATAAAGGTTGAGGCGTCTGTAGAGGTGCCATCAATGGTTACTAGCTAACGTGTTTCAATAAGTACAAGGCAGGAAATGTTTCTGGTTTACGTTTAAGCTGAGGAATAAGCAACGGTTTCACTTTTACTGCTGTTGTCACTTTGACCTATTCATTGTTCACTTTTCGGTACTGCTTTTTGAATTCCGTAAGACATCAAGAGCGATAAAGGAAGCATCTTCAAGATACTTTTTCTATCTCAAGAATGTGTTTCAGATTGGAGCAGTTCATATGTCAGTGCTTTTGATTTTCCGTCTTCTTTTTCTTCTGACAAACTAAGAAAAGGATTCGCCTTGATACGTTGTCTTCGAGCTCCTTGTTGTTGACTAATCGTAAGATTCGTTGCCGATTTAGAAGAATCTCATTCACCTGACCTTATCCTCTTCACCTGGTTACTCCAAGAAAATGTGAATAGAAGGGCCACCCCGTGCAAATGAACAGCGAAGTCCGTGTTATCTAGGTAGAAAGGTTCCATAACTTAGTACAGGCCGTGTTCGCACAGTTTTGCATTCATCCATCAACCACCTTGTTGACTTTCAAGAAATTCTCCGTCTCTATTCTGTCGCACTTTCCTACAAGGAAAAAATTGCTGCTATGAGCTGTTAACACGAAGTCAGACTTATTCAGAGCGATGTATTCCCAAGGGATTGTATGACATAAGGATGGCAATGAAGAGAGATAAATTCAAATCAAGATATAGTGTCTGGAGCAGGAATCGTCATTCGAAATTATATTCTGCTATTGCTTTCATATAAGGAAATTCTTTTTCAGGAAGAAAGGCATCGATGGGAAATCTCACGCGACATGGTTCTTGTAGAGATCGTGATCAATGTATATATATTTGCCAATAGAACGTAAAGCTTTTCCCACGCCGTAGTGTTTTCTGTTTTTATTTTTTTTTTACAAATCACTGTCCGAAACTTAGGGGGATTTGTGTTAACCACAAATTGGAGTGTGCCTCAATTATCCCGAAAATCCTAGAATGAGTTACCTATGACAAACTCATTCTTAATAACGTTCTATCTATTTATAGGTCGCACAAAGACGAATAACATATGGACATGCTGCTGGTCTCCAAGCCTGCGGCCAAGCATTTTTCATTTAGGGAAAACCTCCAAATATCTGTCATGTATGAATGAAAGCTTCTGAAGGAAGCGTGAGCTTAAAATGAACTTTTACTGTCAAATTCACTTATAACAAGACCAAAATTACGGAGAACACACAAATAGGATGAACTAGAAATATGCTAGATTTTCGCGAAAAAATCAATCTCTTTCTGATCTGTTAAAAAAAATCAGGCATACTATAGTCCCTTCGCAGTTAGGTTGAGTCGAAAACGCGCAAACGGTAAGGAAGGCAGAAAAAAATCTAATTCTTTGAAAAGGTCTCATGGAAGCATAAGCTTGTTTTGACTCGACCGTTTATTGAAAGAGCAACATCAAATGATGGAACCCACAATGCTCAATGAATGTTGATAAGGACTTGAGAACTGAATCGGTCGAATAGGTCAATCGCCTACATTCCTCTGATAGAAGCAGTTAATTGACTCCGACGTAACAGCGCTTACAGCTAGTTGTTCAATAAAGTAATGGACTCATTTTTCAGCCTTTTCGAGAAAAAAATTGCATATGGTAGAGAAGGCAGTCAAACAGTTGATCTGGAGTATAAAACATGACGCGAGTTTTCATAATTTAGTTTAGGTCTAAAATTGGCTGTTGTTTTCGACTCAGGGGTATGGTAACAGCGCTCACAGGTTGGACCAGATATCAAATCCGCAAGGTGTTTTCGAACGTGCTCACAGGAATGTCCACTGGTGGCGGTGGCGTAGAAATGAAATGAATCGGTGTGACTTGTATGCAGAAGAATTACGTAGAAATCTACACATACTTGGTTCAAGGTGAAAAACAAATATTTGAAACTTTTAAAGTAAGGCTTTATTTTTAACACACCTGGCCCGCCACCAAATGGCGGTTGACTGTAGCTGAGCATTACGCCGATCATTGTAGTTAAGAAGAGTGTCCTTAGCATTTGATCAGAACGAATAGCTAAAGAAAGCAATGGACATACCGAAAATTTAAAAACCAGCTTTCTATGGTCAAATGGAATGCCAGCGAGTGCTAAAAAATTGACAAATTTCCATTTTCAAAGAATTCAACAAACACTTGTCTCTTCAAGAGCCTTCTATTTGTAGAAATTCTGCACACAAAATTCTTTAGAGTGAAAAACATTCGTTAAAAAGTACAATCGGCAGAAACAAAGTGGTGATGATGGCTGCCGAGTGATGCATTAGGGTGACAGTGAACGGTGTAACATAATTTGTATAGTGCTTTAAACAAATTGTTGATGAGTTTACGCTCAATGGAAATTCTCCCATAACACCCATAGCAAACCGTTAACTAAACAGATCTCATTTGAAAATCAGACAGTCAGCGCATAGCAGGATACCGTAATCTATTCGGCACTACGATCAGCGCTGTGGATACTCCGTTCTACTAAGATCCACTTCACAAGAACCGTATTCCACTCCTTCCACTCTTCACATAGATGTACCCTCAGGGTTCACAAACTTGTGTCTACTACCCTTTTTCGCTGTTTTCTCACTTTTTGTTTTTTTTATAACTAACCATTATTTCCTAACCATTTCCGTTCAGTAATAAGCGTCAACACTAGTGATCGACCCGGCGGTAGCATATCATTCATAGTTGATATGACAGTTGACGACCCTTGGCTGTTGTTATGCACCGGTAGCCTCTTTAAAACGTGTTTTGTCGAATGAAAAACAAAGACTAAGCGCGAAGCAAAAGTGGAAGAAAATTTTAGCATTCCATTCCTTCACATTGTGACTATCACTAGCTCAGTTCTTAACCGACACTTTGATGCCACACTGAGTGGTGCGCATAGTTATACCATTATTAGAAATAAAACATAATCAATCTTTATCGTCATTGTAAAGAAAAAAATCGAGGCAATCGATTGATGGTGCAAATCTGGGAGCATGATGCACATACGTTTCACTAAGTGAGCAATATCGAAATAGGTGGAGTTTATCTGGAGCATATTTGCCCTTACTGTGCAAAGTATGGAAGGACGTTTTTATTTCGAGTATTTTCGAAATAGCTGATTTTTAACGCATTTTTATACTTGTGATTTTCGACTATTTTTTTAATCAATAGGACAGATAAACAAACACCGCTTTTTTCACAACCTGTATACAATCAGGGTGTGCCCTTCTACTTCTGACGGAAGGGACGGACAGCTAACTATGCTTCAACTTCTTTTGTATTGGTATTCTTTTTTATTGCAGAGTAATATGTAAAATACACTGTCAATGATGTTGAGATATAAGCAAAAGTTGGAACCTCAGTTGGGCTTCGAACCCGTGATTACACTTTCCAAGCGTTCACGTGCTATCTAAAGCAACCACCATGTCCTTGCTTTGCCTTTCTTTCGGGCAGTTTCTATCGTGGCAGAAAATAAAAAAGTCTGGTGTTAGAAGTTGCCTTCAAATAGCATGTTGACATCTCAGTACGCTAAACTGCAAAATCAAGGCCGAAGCAATAAAGATATGGTGGCTGCTCGTTCAGCGCTAAGTTGCAGTCTTCGCTGGAGTAAGCGTCACAACCTCACTGTTGTCTGGAAAGAAAAGAAAAAACAGCATCGGAGGCATTTTTCTTATTTATTCTCACTACACGACCTGGAATAAAATGTTATGCAGATCTCAAAACTATCTTCAACCAACTCGTTTCTTTGCTTTCGTTAGCCAGAAGATTTGGATTATTAAGTTCGGCTATTGCATTTAAATTTTTGGTCTTCTTATAAGTACAAACGTGCTGTGAGCAAGAGTGTTACTACCCTGAGCCACAACCTGTTTGGTGAACGAGTGTAGCACACTGTGGATTACTTGCATATTTATTGCCGCTAATTAATCACATCGATATGTGGCAACTGCAAATTAGTTAGGAGAAAACTACTTCCAATGCCTATAATCCCTGTTTTCGCTTAATAAATGGCTATTAGCACAAGCACATCACTCGTCTTTCTCCATTAGAGGATTCTAGCTAGTCAAGAGACAAGAAGAGAGCCACAATTTCACCGCCAGTTTGGGACCGCTTGTTTTACTCTTTTAGGAAAAGGTCTTCTCAGAAGGTTTAACAGTCTTTTCCATTGTCAAAACTTAATCTCATTTAAATTAGAAAATAAAAAAGTCTGGTTCTTTGCCAGCAAAGGTGGTTGAGCTGGCTATAGAAGGCTGCTGCTGTCCATGAGCTGAAATTTGGGAACACCATTTTGTGAGTTTGAAACTGGAGCCTTTCATTGAGGATTAGGGATTGTATTCCTAACCAATTAGGGCGAAAATTACAGTGGTACCGATGTCACTTTTGATGAGCATGGTGCTGCTTCAAGCCTGCTTCGCTTACCAAGCCTCTCATCTAGCCCAGTGGGTAAGCTAGTACAGGATTTGTCCGGCAAAAAAACTCTCTGCAATCCAAGTAGTAACACTATCCCGGCTATCTCAGGACTCTAGGGACAATCGACTCGACCGGTATTTAACAACGTACAAGATGAAAGGAGATTCTTCAAGCAGTAGCCTGAGGTACACTTAAAAATTTGGAACACCCCCGTGGATGCGAGGAAGCCAATGTAATATGAGAGGGGCTGGGATCCGCGGAGTAAATGTGAAAGACGGGTCTTATAAAAAATATCTTGTTTATTAATGTCAATTAAAACAGTGTTTTTATCTTCACTGAGATGCTGAGATATTTGCAAAACTCCGGACCGCAAGCGTCTACGGTGGGAAACGAACGCGCTATTGTCCTTTCTGGGGAGTTGCCCCACCGCCACACCATGCGGGTCCTCAGCGTCATTGAAGTTATATTTCGCAATATGCCCTGCCATTAAAAAGAGTAGGCAGCAAATAAAACAGTTAAGAGTGCTTTTATCATTTACAAAGGCTGAGCCGTGTGGTTTCTTGATCTCGATTTCTCAAGGGTTATGGGTCATCCGTTCGACTCTGCCAAGCATTTGGTGCATGGAATGGCTTGCACTGCGTTGCTTTGCAAAAGTATCAACTCAGTGTGTCTTCCTTCCCGGATCAGTTCAATACCAATTATTAATCCTAAAGGATGCTGGTTTTGCTTATCGAGGAGGATATGACGAGCCAACGTCCATGTGCGTTACAAGAACACCACTAAGCACTGCGTTTCCCACATTCTTTGCACCTATTAGAAATATAAGTTGACGGTTACGAGTCACTATTTTCCATCAAAGCTGGCGCTTTAAATTCTTAGCATAGCGTCTTTCATTCGATAAACAAGCAAACATTTTATGTTAACCTCATGATGCGAACAAAGATCACACATAAGCAGATAGAATATTCATTAAAACTACATTTATTATTTTGGTTATAGGTATTTTTTGACAAACTAGTCATAAACAGGCATGAGTAAAAAAAAGAAAGTCTGGGTTGCTTGATTAGTTATACCAAGGATTAAGAGGTCTCCATGGTGGAATTTGGGGCCAATACCATTTCCTGGTCTCCATCGACTTCAACCTTGCCAGTTTGGTCTTTGCGGACCTGCACTCTTTGTTTCCGAGGAATAATATCATTAGTGAAATGAAACAATTTGTACAATAAAAACTCTCAGCCAATTCAACTTTTCTATCTTTAATGGTAAATTCACCAAATACAACTACGAAAATTTACATGCCTGGACCACCTCCCTGCCACGGGCGATCCTGAATTCCTTGCGGATTTCCCAGCCTGCCTTGCCATGGGTTAACTGGACCTCTACTATTGCCTATCCAATTCGGAATTTGTGATCCTAAAAAGTAGTGGAAGCCTAAATTCGAGGTGTAGAATATTCGCCAGGATTGGTTTAACAACTATCAAACTCCGATATTTTCGTAAATTTGTAGGAGACTACTCGAATGTCTCGGGTTAAAGAATACAAACATCGAACAAAGGAAAATAGTGGTTGCGAAGTTAAACTATTCAGTAACAGTTGTGAGTGAAGGCTTGAGCAATGCTGAAAATCGAAAAAAATTACGGAACTGGTTCAAGACTTGAAAGAGAAATGGTTCCCAAGAATTTAAACGGCTGCTGAGCTGTGAATTAATACTGGGTTGTCTAAAATTAAATCAGGTTACCATGTGATAAAACACTAGGAACTTGCACACTAATTTCATTCCAATACTGATATTGGCAGTCTAGGAAATAATACCCACTTTTTCCTTTTCTATTTTAAAAGGCTCGTTTTTTAGTTTTTTTAGTTTTTTTTACAGTTTCATACCTTTTTGTCAACATTCTGTATGCACAAATACAGTAGCATCTACTGCACCAACTTATGTTCTCCGTGGTTCAATAGTTGAACAAAGATGTAGCATCGAAAACTTCTCCAAATCAGATTTGATTCGGAAGAAGATTACGACAGCCTTCGAGCTCTGTGGATGTAGTTTTCTATTACAATTTCATGAGTCCATGAGAGATTGTTACGGTAGAGAAGCATTCCACATAAATCGAAGAAGTGTGCCATGAACTACGACACCTATGAGCAGCAGTGGCCAATTAAAATGAGCCCGTTCAGTTTCACTACAGTGATTTACTGGGTGCAAACGTGCAACAAGAGATTGAAATAATTATGATATCGCCAAGCTTCCACATCTAGTAGAGCTCTTGCCACTCGACTGTCATTCAAGGAAAACACTTCAATACTCAAGCAGCTGCCGAACATCCTTTCAAGGACCTGTTTACTCTGGTAGCTTAAAATAAATTCCACTGTGGGCTGCAATTTCTGTATTTGAAGAGGAAATAAACGAAACTGCTTTTTCAAACACCATTATAGAAAGACGAGCCATTCGTCTTGTATTTGAAACCTCACTATCAATCTGCGGCTTCCTCAAGCTTCTGCGGCTAACCATGTGGGCCAATAAGTCTCCACGGTAAATTGTTAATAAACAGGCATTTTAACTTAACCCTTAGTTGAATAAATGCACTTTATTTCAATGGTACTCTAGCGAGAGGTTGGCTAACCATAACCAGATATTTATTCGGCTAACGTTTCTACATTTTAGTCTTCACCAAAGCTAGTAAGCATTAATCATTTACACTGACGTCAAATTAAAGTCGGTTTACAATGACTTCACATGGATGCTTTGGAATTGGGCCATCATCTCGCACCTGATGAAGTGGACGCGACAAAACCCGGGTGTACAGGCAAAGCCGATGAAGCAAACAGAAGTACGCTTTTGAAGGAGTTCCTAATTTACTTTTGAAAAACAGTCTTAATTTAGCTTTGGCTTGAGTAGACAACGTTTTACTCCAATAATGAGTTCTACAAGACTGTTATTAAATTTTTTTTGTGACTAAGGTTTCGGCTGCTTCGCCACTCCCGTTCATTCCTGTGATGTCGGTATTTGTTATTGTAATCAATTTATGAATTTTCCCACTTGTTTTTTTTTGCTTACGAGCCAACACAAAAAGGTGAAAATTTATTGACAGAGGATTTCATTTGCTGTATCGCCCACATGCGGTCCATTATCCATCACCAGCTAATCGTAAAATTATCCATTTCCACAGGAGTAGCTACCGCTTTGGATAAATCTGAGTGTGCAAGCTTCTCTCCAATCCGCATATACTTACTTGAATAGTTGATTGGCCCGCCCTCACTGGTTGTGCGGGCCCCTGCATAATCTCTATTTCGGAGTTTTGATGCTTTGGCCATTTCGGCTCCCGAGTGTCCTAAGAATAGCCAGGCCAAAGTCTGCCCCGGGTCGTCACCATCACATGCAGACGCCGCCCTTTTGGATCAGAGGAAGATTTGCTACCGCGCGACTAGTTTGATATCAGGTCGGTGGAGGATACTGGTATTGCTCCACTTTAAGCTGGGCTTTTGGTGGAAATGCTGGACACCTTCTCGCTTTATAAGACTCTTCCGGAGAACGAATCCCGCCTCTGTACACCGCAGTCCGATACTCAAGAACATCTCTCAGCCACGTTGAGACGCCAAACCATTGGGAGGTCCATCCACACATTAAGTCACTTTTCATTTAAGAAGGTTGAGTGTGGTGAGTTATTATGAATAAGTACAAAAACCACATGCAACAAGACCAATCTCTGCGATGAAATCTCCACTTATAACTGCTAGGAAAACGGTGATTGTGCGGAAGGCCCTGACATGCTGCTGAAGGGTCACACCGAATTTGCGCCGATTCACCTATTCTTAATTTTACGACAATCTCTGGAATTTTGCCAAAAAAGATTTCAAAAAATACACAAGAATTAAAAAAGATGGCCAATGCTCAACCTACCTATGACTAGTTAGCAATGCTGCATAGAGGACCATGCAGGTGGCACGAACAAGGTGAAATAAAATTGCTGAGAAATAACTGCGAAGTTTTCGAGAGTAGAACTTCTGCTTAGCTTCACATAAAAAGACGCTTAATCCGACTTCCTAAAATTGGTGTATGATTTTAACCTTTATTTTCGAAGGGCCTCCCAACGGTTTATCGTCTCATCGTGGCTGGGAAGTGCGCCTGGGTGTCGGATTGTGATGTATAGCGGGTGAATTCGTCCCCCCGGCAGGGTCTTCCATTCTGAGAAGGAATCCGGCGCTTCCATCAGCAAGCCCAGCTAAGAGTAAACCAATACCAGGATCCACCACCATCCTGGTATCAAAGTCACATGGTGGTAAATATCCCTCTGATCCGCAAGAGGTGCGGACTGCCTATCATGGTGACGACCTGGTGCAGAGTTGGCCAGGCTGTCTTCGAGATTTCAGGGAATCATACTCGCTTAGCCAGCAAATCTCCGAAAAATGGTGATGCTGGGGCCCTCACAACTAGTGATGACGGGCCATTCAACTATCTGTTATCAAGTATTTGGAAATTATATGCTTTCGCCCACAAGGAACAACTTTTCTTGTACCACTCGCACAAAATTTTTAGATTTCTTGAGGCGATGACGTAGTTTAAGGCAGTCTCGACCTTGCCTGGCCTCTTAAGCACTTTTTGCAAAAAAAAAGCTATTGAAATTCCTGATGAATAGGCAGTAAAGGAAAAGTCCGATGAGCATGGAGAGTGCGGCAGAACTTGGTAGGTTAGCTGATTCAACTTCTTCTGCGTTGGTAGTTCGATGTGTGGCCAATCGTTATTGTGGAAGGAACGGAACCTTTCTTCTCACTAATGCTGTGTGCATTGAAGTTTCTGGTGCATTTCGTCGATTTGCGAGACGTACTTCTGTCCCGCATTCGTTTCACCCCAGTTCAGAAGATTGTGATTGTCTAAACCAGTAGCAATCCTCCAAATGGTAAGCATGACCTATTTTGGTGCAATTTCGAATTTTCAAAGTGCTGCGGAGCTTTATCTTCGCCCAACCGTTGCATTGATCGTCTACGACTGTCTTGGAGGACATATTTCTTGTCGCACGTTACAGAGCAGTCAAGCAACGTGTTGTTCTGATGGGATAGAAGAAGCGCCAAAGATGGCTTTTTTGATTATCGCTCAACTTGTGCGACCTCCTTTTGTAAAGCTTCATTGGTATTCTGATGTTTCTTCAATGATTCAAAGAAGCCTTTTTGAATGTATTTGCGAGCAACGAAACCATGAATTCAGCGTGCTTAGCGACAGAAGTACGTGTGCGACCTCATTCGTTTCCATGTCAAATTCTTCAAACCAACGTTGCGCTGTGCATTGGTTAACATTTGCTTGGTCCCATAGTTCACTAATATTTCGACCTGCTGGGCACGCCTGAGTTTAAATCCAAAGAATTAAGTTTGTCTAAACTTCCGTCTTGACCTCTGATACTCTAATTCTAACCTCCTATTTTAACCTTCGTTTACAACTATAAATCATTCGATATTATGGACACTCGTTTTAATTTCTCCAGAATGTAGTTGACAAGGACATAGAGAAATTGTAGCTTCAATACTTAGTGCACTCGATCCACTCTATTGTTGAGAAACCAGGACACCTTTTATTGAACTATTTTAGTCCAACTCTTGCTTTGCTGCACACATTGCCTAGTTTTTCGGAAAATAATGCTCAGGCTGTTTAAAGAGCTTAATAAAGTGGATGAAAAGACAGGACTGTGATCAAAGCAGAAGAGGAATTAATTGATGGGAACGCCTGATGCGTGGTGGCCAGGTTATTCTGAATGGATCATTTATTGAGGAAGCTACATCAAACAAAAAATTCCCTAAGCATTTCATGTGTTTTGATGACAACTTAAGATCAGCATAGGTCGCTCGCGTTTCTAAAACGAAGACACTGACCAAGTTGAACTCTTATGTTGTCAGACAATCGTGGATTAAAATTTTGGGCTCTTCGAAAAAAATTGCGTGCAATACAGTGGGCACTCGACGGTTGAAACGGCGCTCCTAACACGGAGGCAGTTTTCGAAGTTTCGCTTAAATCTTCGAAGAATATGAGGCCATATAGTTAGATCAGAATAGGTCAGATAGACGAGAAGAACTTTGCAGTGAATCTCAAGAAAGTCGAGGTGACCTCTAGAAAATCTTCAGAAAAGTTTGGTGGCCGCTTCCGTTGTACGCATAAGACAAGTTCAAAGACGTGATCGAATTCGCATTCTCGAGCTGAATCCGAACCAACACGCTTGAATGCCATCGATGATAGTTGCACAGAAATCAAATGAACGCCTGAGATCGCAAAAAATTGTTAAGGTGATGTATTCAGGTATACTTCAGTAAGTGGACCCTACCGGTAAAAAACAGGTGAGAAACAGTTGCAATAAACGTTTCGTTTTTAAAAAGCAAAACGCTTACCTGGCCCGCCAACGAATTGCTGTTGAGCGTAGTCGACCATTACGGCAATCATTGTGATTACGAAGAGTGTTCTCAGCATCTGGTAAGTGAGAGTGACTAAAGAACCTAGTGAACTTAGAACAATGCACCCTATTTCACTGATGAGCTAAAACGAACTTGCTAAACAGAGAACAATGCAAAACCAACGCTTCGCTCAAACGGAACACCAGTGAGCAATGAAATAAGCAAGAAATTCTTTCAACAAGGCGCTCAAGAAGATACTCGTTTCGAAAAAGAAGTCACGATTGCTATTTAGATGCCTTATTTTCGTTGGTTCCATCTTTTAATGAGGTTCTGTTAGCTCGAAAAAATTTAACTCTTATCCTATCAATAGAATATGACACTAGTGAAATACATGTATGTCAAGCATTCTTCAACAATGGCATATTTAGTGGTGGCCCTCACTCAAAATTCAATAAACGTTCATCTTCTGGAGGTCTTTCTCTTCAAAAATTTCTCACACACAACTTTTTACTATGGAATATTCGTTAGGAATTACAATCTGCAGAAACAAGTTGGCGGCGGTGGTAGCCGAGTGATCCAACAGTGCCATCATGAACAGTGTGAAATTATGTGTGGACTGCCCTAAATAGGTAATTTTGCATTTAATTCAAACTTTACTATTACACCAATAACATGCTGTTAGCAAAACAGGTCTCAACTTGCAATTAAGCAGTCAATACTTTGCAAGATGCACCAGTCTACTCAACATTCGTTACTGAAGGATAAAGAGAATAACGTGCTAAGCGTTGAATAACCTTTGAAGGATGCTCCGTGTATTTTGTTTTGTAGAGAGGAGTGAATATATTTCTGGGTTACAAGTAAGTGCTTTCAACGTTCCAGACAATTCTATTGCCAGTTTGCTGATCCCATGAGGATGGAGGGCCTGGTGGTCTGAAGGTACAGAGTAGACCCACGAACCGGTGCAACGTGTAGTGCATGACGTCCAGAACTACTGCACTACATGCGCCTCAGCATTACGATCGCAGCCGTAGGTTTCCTTTCCTAGCATGGTCCACTCCACTGCTTTTGTCTTCCACTCCTTCCAACATGTTAATAGATGTTTTATCTAACGTTATTTCAGTTGTTTCATTTGTTTATGTTGTTTTTTTCGCTGTTTCTGTTTTATTGTTTTCACCTCTATCTTCTTCGCCACCGATCATCTCTTCCTAACCATTTCCATCCAATCCTTAAGGTGTCGACGTCAACGCACGAAGCAGCGACAACTTGCCGCTGATAGTTGATAGTGATAGCAAATCAATTCTTACTATTTCAGTTTATCAATACTCATTTTCAAAGTTCTGTCGTTTAAAAAGCTAAAGTTGAAAATGCAGTAAAGCAGAAGAAAATTTTAGCACAACACCTTTCCTGGAAATCACCAGCAGTCCGGTTTTGAATTGTAGCATTGTTATCGCATTGAGCAGTGACTATAGTTATAGCCTAGCCCTAAATGAAGCCAAAATCTTAGTTATCGATGTAAAAAGATCTCGAATGATTCCTCTAATAGTGCAAAACATCGTAGAACATCGCTTATAGTAACTAATAAGTAGGAATGCGAAAGTTTTAGTTAAGCCTTAGTGGATGGACTGTCGTCGAATGGGTTAAACGTACATAAAGCACTTGCAGTTAGCCTTTACAATACAAAAGCAGAGCGTGGAATGACTTTTTCTGCTCTTGTTTCGAGTTTCGATATAATATGGCTCTGGATACATTACTGTGCACGTAATTAGTAGCTGGGTTTTTTAAACAGTAGAACAAATCGGGAAAATTCCCTTTTCAAGGTATTCAAATCACGTCGTTCCTCAGAAATTGCACGCAACCACGGTGTAACATCGCCTGCCTTACTCTTCTCTTCCACTGCTAACGGAGTTTATGTCAGCTGAAAATTTCTGATGTGAAAAGCAGCCGGCATCTCCGTCCATCAGAGCACGAGTGGGCGCATCGGACACATTCAATATTAGAACCCAAAAGCCCAACTTTCTAAAACCTCGGCATAGATGGTTAACATATTTATTTATATGATCTTATAAACTTATCTTCTCAAGCTGATGCGAAGTTGGTACAGGTCTTCGTTGTCGTTGTCGCTGTTGTTGTCCTTGTTGCTTGTGTTGTTGACCAATGGCTGACGTTTCGGCGATTTCGCCTTCCTCAGACCCGTGCTGTTACGGGTGGGATTCCCATTAACCGGAAAATAGGCTGTATTGCTTTTTTTACCTACCCTAATTATTCTGGAAGAAATTTAATTGTCTATAGGCCAGAATTTAACAACCTTGACATTATTTAAGCCATGTGGATTTTTAAAACCATTTTCTGATGGTCCTCCTAACGGTTTACCTCCTCATGGGAGGTGTCCCTGGATGTCGGACTACGATGTACAGCGAAAGATCCGTCTCCTGGCAGGGTCTCCCAAGCTGAGAAGGAGTCTGGCGTTTCCATCAGAAAGCCTAGCTAAGAGTAAACCAATACCAGAAATCACCACAGTCCTGGTATCAAAATCGCATGATGGCATATCTCCTTCTAATCCATAAGGGCTGCGATTGCCTGTGGTGGTGAAGACCTAGGGCAGACTTTGGCCAGGCTGACCTCGGGATTCTAGGAAACCATGATGGCTTAACCAGCAAATCTCCGAAAAATGGAGATTATGCTGGGGCTAGCGCAACCAGTGAGGACAGGCCATTCAAGTGTCAAGTGTCAAGATCTGATGGAACCGTTGTCATTCTTTCCGGATATTTATGCAATTTTTAAACGTGACTTCCATCTACGACCACTGCAATGATATACTACATCATCTCAACGATCTTCGTGGTGATATAAGAACTTTTTGCATGAATTCAACTCATCGGCGGTTTCTGGTGCTGAAAAAACATCCTCGAAGATTGCGTTGCCATCTCGACGAGTGGAAGCATTGATCGTCGTTTTCGAAATTATTGAAAGCTCGCATCATGAAGGCAGTGTTGGTTGAAAACTGCATCATAGGTAGCAGTAAAATTGCCCTTTAAAAAATCAATGTTCTTTCAACACATTGATGAGGTCGAAAGCAGTTCGTTAAGCTGCGAAGCAATACAACTGGCCGCCTTTCGTGCTGGTAGAAGAGGTGGATTGCTTTTCCATGTCTCATCGAAAAGACCACTCTATGTGAATGTTCTGTAAGAGCTTTGTACCACGAAGATCAGGTACTGATATCTTTTTATCATCTGCTTTAACAGAGATTCTACTGAACAAAATTTGTTCTGTTTGAGATGTAACAATTCATGAATGAAATGCGAAAAATTCTGTGCTATTGTTTCCCTATATAATACAGGCTTGTTCAGGTTGCCTTTCACCACAAAGGCGAACATTCGGACCGGCAACTGAACAACTGCCCTCTATAAAGAAGTACTGCTGAATAAGAAAGCTTCACTCGAGTGGTCCTTCACTAGATTCAAATTGATTCGAATACGAAGATCCTCATCGCAAGTGCGAACGGCCGTGAACTCGAATCATCGCTGTTACAATGAAAGCCAAGACTTCGAAGTGTTGGCTGGATAAAGATTTCCAATCAACCTTGTGTGCTTACTCAATACTAGAATACTTGGATGGCCCGTCCTCACTGGTTTTGGCGGCCTCATCATAATCGCCATTTTTCGGAGTTTTGCTGCTTGAGGCGTTGTGTTTCCCTGAAGTACAGAGGCAGCCAGGTTAAAGCCTGTCCCAGGTCGTCACCACCACAAGCAGTCGCAGTCCGTGTGGATCAGAGCGAGATTTGCCACCCTGAGACTAGCTTGTTGCCAGCGGTAACCGATTTTAATATTGGTTTACTCTTAGTTGGCATTCTTGGTGGAAAAGTCGGACTCCTTCTGAGCTTAGTAGCTGCTGCCATGGGGATCAATCCTCCCACTGTACATCGCAGCCCGGCACTAGGAACACCTCACAGCCACGATGAGGCAGTAAACCGCTGGCAGGAACTTCGTGTAAGTCGAGCAATTTAGGCAAATATTGAAATAAGAGATTCGAAGCATATCTCAGCGAGCCAAAGCGCATAAAATGACTCATTATTCGTATTTGTACAGAAAAGTCCTGTGAAGACAACTTCATGAATGTTTGCCAAAGTTTTTCTTTTACAATTCAGGACCGGAAGGATTCATTTTACGCAAATATGGCTTACTCTTTCGTTTTGAATTATTATACTTGAGCATATAGTGAAGAATATAAGGTTGGATTAAACCGATAAATCTTATCTGAGGACAAAACTCTGGAAATCTGCATGAAATATCTCACTGGGATAAAATTCTAATTTTACAAATCCAGAAAAACAAATTTGCTGCACACTGCGGTTAGTGTTCGATCGGAGAACGATCATCAAAGAATAGAACACCTTTCGTTTTCAAGGCGCAATTGATCTCTGTGAGTTGGAAAACCAAATGGAAGGAAAAGCGACCAAATGCCTGTGCAGAAAACAGGAAGGCTCAAGAAAAATGCTCGTTATGCGGTGAGCGAAAAAAATTGTATTGAACTGCTGAAACATTACTGCAAGCCTCTCATCGAGAATTCGGAGGAAACTGTTTTGAAAGAGTTTATCTTTAAATACAAAGTTACACTCCTGCAAAATATGTACATATATGGTCAAAGACCGCCTATTTAGACGTATCCGAAAAGGAAAAAGAGATACATTCGTCGTTTTTTTTCTCAACAATCGCGAGGCTGTTAAACAGCATACGTTTACTTTCATACAAGAACACACATACAACACAACCATAGTTGACGTTTCGGCAGAATCGCCTTCTTCATAGCCTGGAAGGGCAAAGTGATATCCTCGCAGAAGGTGCCAAAACACCAGCGCGCAATCTTCGTGAGGCTTTTTGGATCAATGCCAAAAACCCTAAAATGAACAGCAGGGAGGAATGCCCCAAGATCACACGTAATCTCGCCCCGTATCTTCGTATCGATCATTGATGTGTGGAGGCCCAGTCGTCAACCATATGCGACTCTGAGCGGCTGTTCTTCCTCGGTGAAAGACAGGTGAAAAAGCGGTGGGTTTTTTCGAGAAGCCGTAGATCATGT